ATGCCAGTTAAAATCTCCACACATATTCAACGTAATTCAATAGAGTCAAGTTGCTTATGCAGATTGTTTAAAAATTCATGTAGGATTCTTTTCTTTCTATAATCTAAGCATGAGAGAATAAACAGCAAGTAATGTGAATGCAATGTAAAATAATCTTACCATTACGTTTCAGGTAGGACAGTTTATTGACAGTTGTTTGTGGTATACATTTATTTATTTCATTTATGTATTGTGTATACTTGCAAGCCATCCCACAGCCCATAGCAGGCATTTTGAGGAATACAGCAGATTACAATTGCCATCAGGAGCAACTGTGTTAATGCTTCCATTGTATTTGAATGACAGCCCCAAAAATGCTCACTGACTTTCTCAAGAGGACAATAATATATGACTCTGCACACAAAGTATTTCTTATAAACAGAACACCCTGTTTAGAAGTATGGAGACCTATGTGTGAGAATGCCAATGTTCTAGGAGCAGAATTATTTTAAAAAAGTGATTGCAAAGGAGCTAATCTGATGGGTAGTGGCCAATGATGACACTAGAACCCAGCCAGAACTTACAAACAATCCTTTTAAAACTATAAAATAATATAAAACATAAACACAAAAGGAGAAACTGATGCTCTGGAAAAACAACCAGTCCTCATTCAGTACATAACAGCAATATATAATCTCATTTCAAACCCTTGGCAAACAACAATGCCTTGACTGGAAGACTGAGCAACTATTAACACAGCTTTCATTACATGTTGCTTTTCCTTTGTGGGGGAGAACCCCCTTCCCCCACAGTTTGCATGACAAGAGTTGGTTCTTTCCAATGACTATCTGATTCTCTGCCTATCCAAATCTTCATTTTGACTGAAGAAGTTATTCGGATGAATAACGAAATGTCTCAGTTTTAATAAACTTTGGTCCGGTTGTCATGATTTAACGTTTTAAGATACTTTTGGCCTGGATGACTGAATCATTTACAAGATACATTAACACAACTGATTTCCAGGTATGGCTCAGGTGTATGGGAACTGATGATGGAGAGCCTGGTGGATTTCTTTAGTAGAGCTGCCAAACAGCAGTTCTCTTCAATTAAATCAGAAGTGATGTTATATTCCCATAATGATGTCACATCAGAGGCAATGAAATTGACTTCTTAGAAAATGGGGCCACATTTTTAAGTGGACATAAAGGCAAGTTTCGGCAGCCAACCTTTCCAAGATGCTGGGACTCTGGCAGCTCTGCCCATATAAGTCAGGTGTCAAGACTGACTCCACAACAGTGCCTCAGGAAGAGATTTCACAGTTTAGATGCCACAACCGGAAAGATTCTCTCCTGCTCCCTAAGGACAAATGACAATAAGTGGGTAGTAGTTAACTCCCAGGATGATGGTATCACATTACACGCTGAATATTTCTATATGCCATAGGGGTGAAAGGAGGAGAATATGTGAGGCAGCTGTCTTTGTTGACAAACATGTGTCATTTGTGCAGACTACTTTTCTCCATAGAAGCAGGGATTCCCTATACATGTTTACTTCAAGAGAACAGTTAGGAAGACCTTGCATTTTCAACACTCAAATTAAATGAAGAACTTTACAAAATAACAACAAATAAAACTGAACCTTATTTACTCCACATGGTTAATACTGTACTTCATTTTTTAAAACCATATGCCTGAAACTTGCAAAAAACTATGTTTATTGCCAAACAAATGATTTTCTTTGTCCTAAGTAAAACAAAATTTGCTTGTTAGAAGTGTTATTTGATTCTAGCTGCACAGACCTGACAAGCAACAAAAGTGTTAATAGCAAAAAATGATATTCTAATAAATAAAACTATAATAATTCTTGCAGAAAGCAAAGACTGCATTCAAAAGGTTGTTAGGCAATTTTAGGTTAGGTTTGGCATTTAGGAACCAGCTTATGCACCAGTTACTTTCTGTCTCACCTCCAGATCAACCATGCTAATTCTGAGGTGCACAAACATTAATGGCAGGTAACTGGATCCAAAGCCTCAACCCCACCCATTTTAATTTTTCTGCAGCAATGCAGAAAATATTTTTACTAGCAAAACAACAAAAGCAAAGAGATCGTAGCCCTGAGACTTTGGAAACTATTAAATTAAGGAAAATTTGAAGTCAATTCAAACATGATGTTGAGGAAGGTCTCAATTTCCTATGCGTTGTACTCTAAGAATTGGCAGATAAAGCTGCCCAACACAAACTACCAGTTGCCACACAGTAATATATATTATGCAATCCTGAAAAGGAGAGAACTCAGTAACTGAGTAAAGTATATTGTACAACATTAAAAGGCCATGTTGGGAACATTAATATTCTGAGATGCACACTTGAAATATCAGGAATAGTATCAAAAAGGTCTCTGCTTTTTGCTTCAAAGGATACTATGGATATCTACTTCCAGGAGCAATTAATTATTTTTGTTATATTTATTCTAGTTTTTTTCCAGGAACTCAAGTATAACTCAAGAATATTCCAAATATTCTTCACAAGAACCCTGGGAAGTAGGTTGAACTGAGAGAGAGAACAACTGCCCAGTTATCTAGAAATGTCCATGGCTGAGGCATTCTGGTCCTAATCCAACATTTTAACCACTACATAACACTGGTTCCTGCCACTCCAGAGGGTTCCCCCAAACTATGAACAGCTTTTCCAGGGATTTTATACCAAAAAGCTTTGACATATACAAAATTCCTATATCTTGGTTTATATCTGCATATTTTAAAAAGTGTGTTGAAAATGCCCTTTAAAGCTTACTATTCCATATAACAGGTTTGTGTCTTAGATGGGGGTGTGTATTCATTCTTTGAACTTTAACTCTTCAATTATTGACCATCCAATTCTACAAACTGCTACCTAGGTACACTAACAAAATCAACCAAACTCCCAACATATGCCCAGCTGCCCTAGAGATTGGACCTAACCAGTCCAATCAGTGGAGCAATAGTTTTATCATGGCCATCACAGTTTGACTCTTGTACAGAGCACAGGTTAGGACACTTGAGTGGCCCTCCATCTTACAGGTTTTATTTACTCACATGAATCATGGTATCTCTTAGGTCTAATAATAAACAAAGGCACAGCCCATCTACCGGAAATAAACTGGGATTTAGTTGCATTACATGCCATTGTTTATTCTGCTATACCTACCTAATTTTATAGGATCAGACCTTCAGTACTTTAATTATAGAACAAACCCTGAAAATAATATCTTTTAGGCAGAAAAGGGAAGAGAAAATTGGGACACAGATGACTATCAATATTTCTGTAACTTCAGCAAAATACTGTGGCTGTATCAGTGGTCAGGGATAAATGTTATTCACTTATTGTAAAACTGATTCTAAATACTAACACTATTCAAAAGTACAACAGACAAAACAGGATTACTTTTATTTATCATACAGCAATGAAATGTTTATGGTTTTGTGTCCTACATCTCCCTTAGAAATGCACATCATGTTTAAAGTTTCTTGCACTCCTATCCCATACATTCAAATTAAAAATATATCCTGAAATTACAATAAAATAATACTGCAACTGAAGTGCAATAAAGGGCAAGAGCCAAAACAGACGAAACAGTCTTCAAAATGTAAGAGCTGAAACTTTATGTGATTTAGAAAGGGCTTGATGATCATACACGCTACAAATAAACATCAAGGAGCTTGGTGCAATCTTGTATGGAATGACACCTTCAACAAAGCAAGTTTTTTTTCCTTTCAAAAAATCCAGACTTAGGTTAAAGTTCTATCTGCTCCCCTTTGTAAAATGAGAAATAACCTCTTGGCAGGCTGCTTATTTTATAACATGCTTGGTGACCTCTGTTGGTGCCTACAACTGCAAGAACATCACCCTGCCTCTCCCCATTGACTATGAAATCATTGTGTTACAGAACCCCACAGACTGGCTGGCGAGACAGTGCCCCTAGTCAGTTATAAATATGCCGTTTTGTTTTGGTCAGAAGATGGGGAGGAGGTGGACAGGAAATGGGAAGAGAAAGTAGCTCTGAAGCTCCTTTAAAAGTCTCCCCGTCCATCTCGACGATTAAGTTAACTCTGCCTAAACGAAGGTCTGGGAGAAATAGCAGTCCGATATAGTTCCTTGTTCACAAAAAATTAAAAAACAAACAAACACGGGGAACGATGGAGAAAACCGGACAACGTATAATTTCTTTGATTTAGGGCGTGAGCGAGTAAGACACAATTACGATCCTTCAGCGGAACCCCTCTGCAAATACCGATTTTGAACTGGAGCCCCACTTTTGAATTCATCAAATACCTTTCTCAGGAGCCGCTTCACTGCCGTCCCGATGAAATCAGAATATTGCAAAATGGGGCGGAGTGAAAGTCTGGGCAATAAACAGAAGAGGTTAACCGACCGACTCTTTTTGATTCTCTTGGGGTATTTTTATAGACGGCGATCTGTAGACTGCAAGAAGCGAATCAATGATTCCCTTCACTAGTGTGTTGTTCATTTACAGTACAAAAGCGGGTTTGCGCGCGCCCGCGCGCGCGCGCACACACACACATCCATAAACAGAGTAAATAGCCAGCAAACAGAGAGATCCGTCTATGGAGTTTGTAAACAGAGAGAGAAGGGACTGTTAACTCAAACACCCTCCCCAAATTCAATTTCCAGTTGAAAACCTCTTTTCTCCACCAGCAGAGTTCACGTGTCTTGAGAAGGAAGGAAAATAAAAATCGAAATCCGCGCAATAGAGCAAGCCGGGGCGCGCGCGTATCTGCGCTCTCTTGACAAACAAAACATCCCACCAGCTACAAGTTTACTCAGCGGCACCTCAGGTCGCTGGGGCATTTCACGGGGCGTCCATTAACACGCCAGTGGCCTCAGCTTGAGCCCGGAAGACCGGTCATTTCATCCACAGTTAGAATTAGCTAACAGCGGGAAGGAGCCACGAGGAGCCCAAAAGGAGACGCTCCGCTACGGTTTGCCTAAGAGATTTGGAAAGACCCGGCCGGCGGCACTTACTAAATTGCTTCGCGGGACTCGGCGCGGCTTCCTCCGTCAGCGAGCTGCTTCTTCTGTCGGGCTCGGGCTGTTGTCTTCCAATCCGCCCCGCCCCAGGGGCAGGCCAGACCCGGTTTTCCCTTCCTCCCTCCCTCTTTTTCTCTGTATACAAGAGGCGGACACTTAGTCGGTGCGATCGCACGCGGCTGGCGTTGCAGGCTTCCAGGGGAGGGGAGGGGAAACGAGAAGGACCCTCCTCCGGCCGGTCATCCATGCCGTTTCTAAGGAACACGGTTCTGCCTCACATTCGCTGGCAGACCTCTTCCATTGCTCGTTTGCCTCAAAAGAGTAGTAATTTAGGGTTCGGGTTCCAGATTTAGCTTTGGATCTCTTTCCTACCGGACCTTCCTCTTCTGAGTTTAGAGAGTGGGTGAATTCACACATTGTGTCAATGCGTAGCTAATCTTGGTTTCTGGATTAAGCTATGGTGGAGGGATTCACGTGTCCACACTTAGCCGGGGACACAAGATACGAAGCTTGAAGTGGGATATTTCCCTCTGTTGCCCCCCAGATTTCATTCCATCCAACTTTGTGTGTCTTAAATTTCTGCAATTCCGAAAGAGTGTCTTTCTCTAGAAATGTTCTGCGTTTATTAGGAGTCCAAGTTAAAGCAGCTTTGTGAATGAAGCCTATCCCAATGTAGGAAGAAATACAAACTTTTGAATTATAACAGCAAGTTTTAGGCAATTCAAATACACAAAGCTTGAGTTAGTTGTTTTCTATCGTCCTTGATTTAAGACAAGTGGCTCTGGGCAGCAAACAATCATAAAACAATTAAATACACTTGTAATGCAATACAAAAATAAGTATAAAGGGCAGCTAATTCTGCTTAGTATAGGTCCCTCTTCCTGAAATTAACTAATAAAACTCTGTATGATGTCTATTTGTCAATAAACTTTTGCTAGAACCTTACCAATTTTGGTAAAATTTGGAGAACATCCACAGTAAATTATCCATCTCTTGGGGAAAGGAAACTGGCATGAAACTGGGACTCTGCATTTAAAAGTCATTACAGTTGAAGCTGCTGCTATTAATATCTACTCATGGTTAAAATGGGAAAGTGTTTACAATATTAAAAAAATAGCATCACTACTCTGTTTGGTGCTGTTATCATGAAGTTTGGTTGCCACTTTGGGATTCCAACAGAGTACACTTGTATAATGATTTTGCAACAAAAGATGGAAGGTTAAAGTGAATCCTCAGCTATAATGATTTACCATCTAAATAGCAGTTTTCAACTTGTCACTAGAAGTAAATTAGTATATAAATCTTTCCACCAAATTCACTGTTCTAGGCTGACTTCAAAATAAGAATCCAATCTACAGCTTTATTTTCTATCAAAATAATTTTAAAAAAGTATAGATCTTGACTTTAAAAAAAATTGTGAAAAGGTTTAGAATATAACTTTAGAACACGGGTGTCAAACTTGATCATGTCATGTGACATATCTCATTCTTTGCCTTTGCGGAGCTGGGGTGGGTGTTGGCCTGCCCGTGAAGCATGTGGCCCATGGGGCTGCCAGTTTGGCGCTCCTGCTTTAGAATGACTGAACTCTCTGTAGCCTTTGGCCTGGATACATCAATAATAAGAATGCAGCAGGGAAGGAGTTTCTATTAGAATTTATCGTCAAATTATAAACTCCTGATTTGCCCTTAATATATAATTTTCAAATTTGCTATATTTTGAATGAAAAGTCATTGATTTGTATATAAAATGTAATAAAAATACTGTACAAATCATTTATTGAAGAAGTTATTTGTAGCAAGAAATGTAAAAACTGTTCTGTGCCATCATATTGTCCACCCTACTTGGGAATTAGATGCCAGAATTGAGATAATGTTAATTGTTTAATTCTCTTTCAATCTCTTGTAAATAGTATCATGCCCTCTCCACAACTAAGGCCAACTGCATAAGTTTTAATTTAAAGAATGTTCGTCTTTTCAGGAAGTTATTATAAATATAACGAAGTGTGTGTGTGTGTGTGT